TGACGCAAAAATACTAACTAATATTTCAATTATTAATACTTTTTAAAAGTGCAGTTAATCAAATACATTTAAGATTTATGCTGAAGTGGAAAGCTGCACGTGTAATTATTAAAATTAAAATCATTAAAAATAAGAATTAATGGTTATTAGATAATAATATAAAAAATATATTTCATGAATTTTTAATGTCATAATTTTAATTATAATTGTATGCATATTTATACATTTGAATCAATTACCCTGATAAACTTCATTTGATGATAAATATATAAGACTCTACCTATATTTAATCTAAAATATTGATTTATAAACGACTATAATTTATTGGTATTTTTCAATTTATTGATGTATATTATTGTTATAAAATGATTTGAAATAGAAACGTAGTAAGAAATTTTATATAAAAAATTATAAAAATACTATATGTTGTCAAGTAACGGAACTAATGCAACTTATATTTTCTTACTTATATTCACTCTACATATTCAACCACAAAAGTAAATCAAAATATTGAATCAATCAATTCTTACAAGAATTCTGCTTATATAATTAACTTCTCACTTTATACTACTCTCTGCTCATTTTGTATATTTATTTTATTTCTTGTAATTTGTAAATTTTTAAGAAAATGCACACTTGGCAGAAAACTAAAAGATGGTAAGTTTATGTAACAAAATATAATTAACATATTTTGATAAAAAATTTATTTTTCAGACATTTAAATTAAATATAAATCTGATCTATCACTAAAATAAGTATATATCTTTATATACAAACTCTAAAATCATCTAAATAAAACATCATTACATGACATGCCGTTTTCCTTTTCAGTGTCATCAATTAACACCTTCACAAATTACAAATTTAAATAGAATTTAACTTTCTCTATTTGATGTTTTTGTTTTACCCGAAAATGTATTGTTATTTTTGCACACATAAAATACAAGTAAAAAACGTATACAACAGGTGCGATATATAATAAAAATGCAAAAATTAAAAACAAAGTTTGGTTTACCATTCAAAATCTTTTTTAAAAATCAAATTCCTTTTTGAATATGCAAAAAATGAATGTTTGTTGTATATACGCCTTAAATAAATATATTTTATCTAAAAGATAAATACCTGAAGAGAATGATTTAATAATAATGTAATAAAAAATGATTTCCACAATGAAAATGAAATGAAACCACAATTCTTGTAATTTTATGTAGATAAATTTACTTGAAGTAAAACTGAGAATAATTATAGTAATAATACAATATTTTAACAAATAGCAAAAAAAATTAATTAATAAATCATAAAATTTAGTTTATTGTCATTTAAAAAATAATAAAAATATTTGAGTTTGATCTATTATTTTATTGAAAGTATTTACTATTCTTGTTTAGTTAGTTTATACTATTATATTATATATGCTATATATTCCAATAAATACAAATCGTTGATAAACGATTTCAAAAGATTTATGTAATAATAATATCCGATGTCGATTAAAAAAAAAAAAATTCAACAAACACCTTTGCATAAAATATAAAATTAATTACAATGTTCAACAACTACATAAATGTATTTATGTATTTAAAAACATTCGATTTATAAAAGACTTAAAATAAAAATGAAACTAGTGATACTAGTTCGATTTATAAAAGACTTAAAATAAAAATGAAACTAGTGATACTAGTTCCCGTACGGATTCTGAGTTATTTTCGATATTCGAAAAAAAAAAAATAAAATTATTTTTCGCAAAAACAATCGTTTTGTCAACCCAACCAGAAAGCTTTTTGAATAATTTATATCGGATATTTATTTCTCTCAAAAACTGCCATTTTATGAACATTTTGCTCCGTATCTCCGAATCGGCTGGATCTGCCTTTGCCAAAATTTAATCACTATTTTTTCCATCATTACAAATTGAATGTTTTTTGGAACATTCAAATTGGATGCTCCGTTCTCTCAAAAACTCGATTTCTATTTTCCGCATTTTTGCTCCGTATCTAAGAAACGGCTGGACCCACTTTTGTCAAAAACTAATCAGCACATTTCCCTATCAATTGGAATCGATGGACGAAAAATTGCATCCATACATACATACGTACTCACACACACACATATCCATTTTATCTAAGGTATGCCAAAATGTTCAGAAACCTTCAAAACGTAAAGAAATGTAAACATTTTCAATTTTGATTTTTGGACAATTACAATAACTTACCCTACGGAAAATTAAAAAATATTTTATAACAGACCACACTTTTAAAATATATATTTCATAGTCTAAAATAGTAGTTTAGTTTTGTATGTCCCACAAAAAAAAATGTAGTAAGAAAATTAAACATTTAATTTATCATTTAATTTATTATGCTGCTGGCTAGGAATACAAAACACAAATACAAACTAATTCATCAAAAAACTGCACGTTTTTTAAAATTCTTTTCAATCGTCTAAGCGTACATATTATTCACTTTAAAAATATTCACATTCCAGAAAAATGCATTAGTGTTTTTCCAAAAAATATAGATACGTTCAGGAATTACCATCAAAGTCGTTGGCACCGTTTTAAAATAATACGAGCAAAGAAGATACAGAAAATCCCCTGATCAAATTTTCCCATCAAAACGAGATCGCTGCTGAACATAGTAGGAGAGCTGATCACCATTTAATGAACTCAGAAAAGTAATAACTAAATATTTATTATTAACAACTTTAACAACTTATATGAATATTTTTTTTAACTACCTTAAATAAGTATTTTCATAGAAATGAATTTAATTGAAAAAAAATCTCTAAAAATGCATGTAACTAATTTACATTTAACAACAACTTTGATACACACACTGTATTTAATGCTATAAATTGATTGTATGGATATATTAATTGTAAAATATTCATATTAATATATCATACTTAAATATTTAATGGTAGCAAAAATTATATTATATTAAATTCTCGTAGAACCAAAAAATATAAACAAAAAAAAAATAAATTAGAAACATAAAAATATAAATAAATAAACTTGAGTAATTAATTGAGTACTCTTTAATTAATAAAAATCAATATATGACTAAATAGTTTCTAACTATATATTTCTTCATTAATTTTTCGATGCCTGTCAGATGCTACTTATTTACAAGTAAGATAAATGGATGTTGTTTTCAATTTTTATATTCAGCCTAAGTTTTACTAATTTTACATTCCTAGTTATTCTAATATAAATTTTTATTGTTATATGTTCCAATTTTTATCTTTCTAACTTAACAGATATCCCGCAATCAAATAGATCGCATAGACTAGACAGGTATTTACGAGAAAGTCCACAAAAAACAAATCATTAAACAGTAGTATAAATTTTTATATACTTTGATTTTGGCCTTAAAAATTTTCCAATTCTGAAAACATAAATGAAATTTAAAAGTATAATTGAAAAGGTTGTTAAAAATATATAAATATGTAACATTTTTATATGAAAAAAGTTCACACCGGAGTATCTACATAATTAAGCTATATTAAGTTAGAAACGTGTTTTGATGTATATTTGGGAATAAAAATTCATATTAAATTTTGACAGTTTTAAGAAAATTTGTTTAATATTGGTCGGTGATTGACCTCCGCATTTGGTATCTAAATGTTTAGAGCCAATAAAAATATTCGGACAAAATAAAATAGAATTCTTATTCGATAAGAGAGTATTTTAGAGACCAAGTACTACAAAAATTAGAGACAGCTACAAAGTTAGACCTATTTTAAATTAAAATATAAAATTTTACATATAACGTTTGCATATCAACAAAAAAAAAACGTTTTTGCTGATCGTGTTTCAAACATAGACCTTATAATTTGGGAGACTATGGTCTAAAATAAAGAAGAAAAAAGCTACAAATTAGCGCTAATCAAGAATCACAATATATAAATAATGGATTGAGTCATTACTGTCAATCAAATTTATTGGCCCTAACCTACTATGGTTTTAAAATAACGACTATTAAAAAATAGTAAGAAGTTTAATAAAAAATTAATATTGGCAAGTTTAATAAAAAACAATTAATTTATAATGTATATAATATCTCTATGTTAAGTGACATTTTATTTCTATTATATATATTATATTAAGCATATTTATTAGATATTGACCACTGGTCTTCCGTTGGCCTATAGTTATGAAATAACGGCTATTGAAAAATAGTAAGTTTAATAAAACTGCAATAGTAGTAGTAAGTTTGATAAAAAACAATTAACATATTAAGTATATAACATAGAGATGTTAAGTGACATTTTATTTTATTTTATGGAACTTTTTGGCGATATATATCATGGTCTTATAGAACTTACTGAAATATTACGGCCTTACGAAAAGTAGTTTAATTTTATAAATTTATCAAAGCTTGAGAAAATGAGTAGTTTTTTTTGCGTTTGTTTTACAATTAAAATTAGACGATTTACTTGGTATAACAATACAGTACTTGGTCTTAATGAACATACTAAACCATTAAAGTCCTACGGAAACTGCTTCAATTATAAAAATTGATCTTTGAAAATTTGCTTTCACAAAATACTCCGGGTTAACGAGTTTGTTCGTTTTCAATAAATTCACTTTTTAATAATACTTTTAATCACTGATAAATTAATTTATTTTTTATTGATTAAGTCGATTATATTTACATATTTCGGGAAGATCAAGTAACTTGCTTCAAAGTATATATATATATAGAAACAACAATCTATATAAGACGAATTATAAAAAAGTAATGCTTCCACCAGCTGCCAGTCTATTATCAAATTACTAATATCAAGTATTAGTGATCCGAGAGGTTATTTAAATATTGAAAATCATTAGCGGGGTCTTGCGAACGTTAGCGTTTGCTATCTTCATTCATTAAAAAACATTGAAACAGTGCGCAGTGTCAGATAACATTATCATTCCATATAATCTAAAAATATATTAATAATTTATTATTTATTTTTCAAACCGGCAAAAACTGTTTTAAAGACAAGTTCGTCGCCGCCGCGGTTCGATGGCCTTTTTGTTTGTGATTTACCGAATTTTTTAATGACAGGAAAATGCTCAAATTCATTATGTTTGCAGACAAACAAATCGGTTTTTTACCCAAGTGCATCGAAGTGTGATAGAAGACACTGATTTTTATAATAAATGTGGATTCGTTAAAGTGTTTTTTGATAATTCAAAGAGTCTGAATTAAAATAATAATGCTGGCTGGACAGCTAAAGTGCAAAATGTTTGTTTGTGTGTGCATAGCAATTTTTGTTCTCCTAGACCTAGAGATAAGTAAGTGATTGATATATGTGATATTTTTTTGAAAAAAATATATATACTTTTATTGCTATCAAAGTGTTATTTTATACATCTAAAAACTTATCATTAAATTATTCACATATTTTGTTTAAAAATAACAATTGTAAAATACTTAATTTATCTCATGTATCTTTATTTGGGGTCAAAAATATGGATGGCGCATCAATGGAAACACTATCTTTTATTTCAAGCATAATTATCTTATATTATTGATGTTTCTTGAGTTGAAGCATAAATTGATTTAAACAAAATTAAATAAAAAGTAGAAAAAAAATATCTTCAGTTGGTCTACAAACCAGTAAATATAGTGAAATGAAAACGATGGCTTATTTAGTATTGTATATTTTTATCAATACTTGCCACTCATATGAACACTCATCTCAAATGATATGTAACAAATTAATTTTTTTTTCGCAAATTATTGTATATAAGTTAGTAAGGTTTCTCATAATTTTGTCTATATACTCAAAAATATATTCAATTGTTAAAAATGCAAGAGTTAAAATAAATTGCATGAAAGCTGGAACTAAAAAACCAAGCGATTTTATAAATAATGTTCGCAAAAGTAAGTGATACTTGTGATATATTTTTTAGAAAAAACATAGATATTTTCATTGCTATCGATATAAAGTGTTACTTTATAGATCCAAAACTCATATGATTAAGTTATTCACATTTATAAATGAAATAATTTAAAAAATATAGCTATGTTAAAAAAGTACAAAAATTATTGTGTCTATATATTTAACGTTATCCTTAATAACTATAATATGTTTTGTTCATAAACATTTTATAATAATTGATTTTAAACAAATTTATCTCAAGCATCTTCATTTTGTCATCTTGATGATGCCATTTTTATGGAAACACTATCCTTTATTTTTATTGTATTTTAAACAAAACTATTTATTATTACTTATTAACAGCTGTAGCAGATATTGATTTAAAAAATTAAAAAATAGCTTTAATTAGTCTACAAGCAAATATAGTAAAATGAAAATTTTACTATTTTTATTATTTTCGACTTTTGGATTTCAGTAATTTTGATCCATAAGCAAAATGCTTACCCAGAAACGGTAATATTTGACGAAAATATCAATAAGTTAAACTAAAAATAATAAACATTTAAATTGATACTTGACTTGATACTTCATTAACAGTTGTAGCAGATATTGATTTGAAAAAATTAAGAAAAATATAAAAAATGTCTTTAATTGGTCTACTAATATAGTAAAATGAAAAGGACGGCTTATTCAGCATTGCATACTTTTATCAAATTCGGGTCAGGTGCAAAATGCTTTCGCAAAAACGGTAATGTTTGACAAAAATATCAATAAATTATTTTAAACAAAATATAATAAACTAATAAACTAATGAAAATAAATTCATATTGATTTTTATTGAAGATGATATATGGCTCGACGTCAATACGTCTTCAAAAAACTTAAATTTTGATAAAATGTTAACTTCAATATTAAGCTGCAAGTAAACCAGTATACCAGTAGGATAGCATGATTTATTCTTTCAATTATTTACATATTTTGCGAATACAATATTTTTAAAAATAAAATAGTGTAAAAAATATTGCAATTTTCAAAAAGTGATGCTAGAAAAAACACTAGCCTTTGTTTTTCATTCTATTTTAAGTACAATCATCTATATTACTTGATCTTATTAAGAGATGTAACAAAAAATGGCTTAAAAAACTGATTAAAAAAAATAGTATTTTGTACTTTTATCAATATTACAAAATGCATACGCAAAAATGGCTATATTTTAAAAATATATATATAATATACTCGTGTTTTGATAAAATAAACATTCATAATGATCTTTATTAAATGTGATATAGCTACGAGTCAATAGACAAGTTCAAAAAAAAAACTTAACAAAACGTTCAATATCAAAAGTCAAAAGTAAATTAATATACTAAACAGAAAAAATAATTATAGAAATCAATTTCAACGCAAAATTTATTCATTCAATTTACATATTTTGCAAACACAATATTTCTGTTACTATTTTTTATTGTTTAAATATTCGCCAGGATAAAACTGTTGAATCTAAATTAAAATTAATAATATACCTTATAAAACAATTAAATAACATATACTTAAAAATTATATTTAAGTCTCGAAAACTGAACGACAGTGCTCACAAAAAAAAAACTAACAATGAAAGAAAATACTTTTGTTAGGGATTTTGAAACATTGTCGTAATTTTTAAATAAAATGAAGTAAAAGCATAGATATTCTATAAAAATGATACGTTGACGCCTAAAATTAACATGCCAATATTTTATCGATTTGAAGCTATGACTAATTGTAATAAAATATTTTTATAACAATTAAAAAAAAAAGAATTCTGAACCAATTTATCTCATGCATATTTATTTGGTCATCAGAGGGATGATGCAAAGTCATCCTTTATTTTTTATTGTATTTTAAGCAAAATTATCTAACACTACTTGATTAACATTTGTATCAAAAATTTTATAAAAAATTTAAAACAAAGGAAAACAAAACATTTAGTTAGGTCTAAAAATCAGTAAATAATATGGACGGCTTATTCAGTATTGTATACTTTTATCAATAATAGCCAATTACCTAGACTCTAGCAGAATGATTTGTAAAATGCCTTCGCAAAAACGACAAATTAAAATAATTTTTATTGAAAAATTTTAGAGTGTTGTCGCTGTACGAAATATTTTTTATAATTTTGTCATATATTATTTATAAATTGAACAAACTTTTACAAATCAAAAGTTAAAATAAACAATTGCATAAAAGCTGGAACTAATATACCAAACTATGTCTTTATAAATAAAGTTCTCAAAAATTACATATAAATAGTGTGTTTTCAAAATTAATAATTTTAATATTTATTTACAATATTTCAAATACATATTTATTGTTAGTTTTTTAAAGTAACTGTAGTAATTTTAAATTATCAGTTTTAGAAAAAAATATAAAATTGAATCATTGAAAAGCACGTATGGAAGTGATAATTTGATAAGCGTATCAGGAAAATTAATATCATTTTCTAAATGTAAAAACTAATGAAGCATTAAATGATTTGTAGAGGTTTTAAGAGGTTTCAAAAACTTTCTCAGATTCTTTTTATAAAGTAATGCTTTATTTGCCACTGGTAACTTGTCATAAATATATATAATAATTCATATCTTTAAAGAATAAAAATGCTTAAACAAAATTCTACTTAAAAAATATTCAAACTATACAATTTCAATATATATGTAGCCAACCAATTTACAGAAAATATACTTGTTCGGATAAATTTTTTCAATCAAGTTAGAGTTATTCACGTTTCAAAATTTAAAAAAAACTTCATTAAAACTTTTTTAATAAAATACCTAATTGTCATTCAGAAACATTTCATCGAGACTAAAATAAAGTGAATGCTAAATTTTTCTTGCCAAAAAAATCTTGTAAAAATTTTATGAAATATTAATCTACATTTAATTTAAAAAGCATAAATTATAAAATAATAATTGGGAATACATTGGGCAGCAAAATCAGTTTCATCAATTTGTTTTTTTCTACGTTTATTAATATTTAAATTTTTCCTGATGAAATTGGTAATACACATTTGCTTATTTCTATAAATGCACCTATATGATAATAATATTTTATCCAAAAATTCATTACACCTATGTTAATACTATATAATTTTAACACATAATATTTGAACATCAAATTAAAAGTTGTGTGCTTTGTTTTATGATCTTAAATATAAAATATTGGGTTTTTCGAATGGTGATAATTTTTATGATAGAATATTATTATATTGAAACTCAGTTCTGCTTCACGGGTGTTTCCATAATTTATTGTTTTTATCAAACTTTCAAAACATGTGAAAAATTACCTACATTTATAATCCAGCAAAGGCATTTCAATATAAGATTTCTATAAATAATTCTGTAGGTAAATTACATAGTATAATTACATAAGTATTACTTGCTTAATTAAATGGGATATTATCTACAATTTGAAAAAAAATTGAAATTGACATCTAAAAATATGTGAAAATTTAGAAAAAAATATTTTCATACTTACATATCTGACAAGTTTAATTTCAACAAATTAAAAGTGATCCATAACAATGTTTATCATCGCATATAACAATTATTTTTATAATCTAAAGAGATTATCAAAGTTAATGCTCAAAATTGTGTAATTATATTTGCATTTCGTTAAATGACTTTGAAATATAGGTCACACAATTCAATCTTGCCTAATAACGATTTCTGATTTCTAATTCATTGAAGTCATACATTAATTATTGTACATATTTTTCTAATTATTCCATTATGGTAATTATTTGTCTGAATAAGTTAATATTAATTTTAATTAAAATTTAAATATAAGTAAAAATGCTGTGAATAGCGTTTTTAAAAATGCTAAAAATGGTTTCCACTCGTAAAAGAAGATCAATAACAATTTTAACTCTGAAAAAAAATTACTAAGTCGCAATACATAGTCAAATATAATAATTTAATTCAAATTAATTATAACATATAACAAATATTGGCAAAAAGACAAATTTAGTATATTGTTCAAAATTGGTATAATTTACACGTACTGATAATAGTGTTTCTAACATATACATTTTAGAACCAGGTGTTTTTAAAATAATATAGAGAAGGGTGGGGGACTCAAAGGTCCAATATGGCTTTGAGCAATTAAATTGTGATAACCAAACTAATTATAACACATATCAAACAAACTACTGCTAATTGTACAGTAAAAGTCCCTGCTAATTCATTATTGTAAAAATGTGTTTTTTGCTGTTTCTCAAAAATTTGTCATCTGGTCCTTTTTGCCCAATAGGCGGATTAAACTGAGACGGCCAAGTAGCAAACAGTCTTACTCTTACTTATTTTTAATTTTGAATGGATTTAACAAAATAATAGCTACATTATCCAACCTACGCAAAATACAAATTTCATGGCTACA